ACGATTCTGTCAGCCAACTCAAGCTCTGAAATGAAGGCCCGTGCCATAAATATTTACCACCCCTACATATATACTTCTTACGGCAGCTGGTACCATTACGATTATAAGTTGCTTGGCATCATAATGGGCTCGCTGTTCGGTGGAGTCTTGTTCTTGATTATCGTTTTTTTTTGGTGTCCGCGCGTGTTTATCGAGAAAGCAGCGCGCTGTACGTGAGAACATCGTCGTCCTTTCTGATAGACAAACCGATTCCAGCATCAACCCCAGCAGCGACTCTATGCCAACCGGTTTCAGCAGCAACCCCAACAGCGAACCACCACCAGCCTACTCTCAAGTAGTCTTTAGCAAGACTGACAATGACATGCAGTTGCAAGCGAGATTGTAAGGTACGACAACTTAAAGGGCGACAACTTAGAAGGGGGGGGGGGGGGTAATTTAAGGGCGACAACTTAGGATTGACTACTCAAAGGGCCATAAATCAAAGGCTGAAAACTTAAGGGTTGATAATTTAATGTGCGACAATATAATGAACGACAACATAGGGGCGACAATTTCAAGTACGACAGCCTAGGGGGTGTCAAAATAAGGAGCAAAAGCACGGAAATCAACAAGATAAAGTGTACTCCATGACTCCATATTTTAAAGGACTATTCAAGAGACGACAACTCACCACTTAACATGTACTCGCACAACCCGCACAATCGGAGACAAATGTGTTACGTAATATACAAGTTAACTATTCATCTGTCTGCTAAGATTTGTAATATATATACATTGATAACCAAATTTTACTAATAACCGTTTAAAAAAAAAACATACAGAAAAGATATTTTACGTAGAAGTTTTAAATAAACCGGGAGTGATCTCCCCTAAACTTTCTCGAATATTCTTATATAACTTGGAATGTAGACATGATTTTTAATTACTTAAACTTTTAAAAATAGAATAGAATCTCATAGAAAAAAACATTGCGCACCAAACAAACGCCGAAACAAAATGTGCTTAATAGTGCGCAATATTATTAGTACTTTATAAATTTACTTGCGTTTTTTGAGAAATCGGAAATAGCGTAAATTAGTACTTCTGGTCAACGAAAATTACTCAAAATTTGATAGAAGGTAGAGAATTAGATCTATTACTTACATTTGAAATTTCATTTATCTATCTGAAATAGTACTCAAGTTATAGGCTTTTGAAAAATTCAAAGTAGAAAAAGTACCACTTCCGGTTATCGAAAATCGCTAAAAAGTTGATACGGATCTACGATTTTGATAAAATACTTATATATGAAATTTCATCAACCTAGCTGTAACGGTACTCAAGTTATCGTGTTTACACACAGACACACACACACACACACAGACAGACAGACAGACAGACAGACACACAGACCTACGGACAAGATTGCAAAATTATGTTTTTTCCGTATCAGTGAGGTGTAAAACGTCGAGATTTGCAAAAATCTCGATTTTTTTTTGCACGATTACAAGACTTTCTCTTTACTTCGTATATACGAGAAAGTAAAAAATTAAGCAAAACCCTCGAAGAAAATTTGTCCATTTGAACAATTTTTTTTACTAATATGTAATGCAAATAAAAACAAACAAACAACTGAATATAGTTTGTTTCCTTAAAACAAATACACGTCTCTACTATTTCAACAATATACCTTTATGTAAGTACCAGGTCGGTTGACCAATGACCACACTCCGAGTGAAGTAGCCAGTCACGTGAAGGCTTTGGCCCCTGAGCTGGCCCTAGTTGAGACACAAACCAATAAATTAATGGGCTTTGTTTGTGTAGACACCACCCAACACATTAATGGCTTTTTTTTCAGTGTAGACACCACCCAACAAATTTATGGTTTTTTCTAACTGAGACACCACCCAACAAATTAATGGGTTTACCTAAAGTTGAGACACAACCCAACAAATTAATGGGCTTTGTTAGTGTAGACACCACCCAACAAATTAATGGGTTTTGTTAGTGTAGACACTACCCAACAAATTAATGGGTTTTGTTAGTGTAGACACCATTTAACAAATTAATGAGTTTTCCTAGTTGAGATATCAACCAAGAAATAAATAGTTTTTTTAAAAATTGAGACACTACCCAACAAATTAATGGGTTTTCCTAAAGTAGAGACACCACCCAACAAATTAATGGGTTTTCCTAACGTTGAGACACCACCCAACAAATTAATGGGTTTCCCTAAAATTGAGACTCCACCCAACAAATTAATCGTTTTCCTAGTTCCAAGAAATCAATGACTAGACACAAATAGCTGGGCTTACTTAAAAGACACAGAAAACAAAATCTAATCTGATCGCTTTTCAAAGTTGTCCACGCGGCTGTGTCGTGGACGTTAAAAAACTGACTCCAAGAGAAATTTGATTCCTCTCTTCACCTTCAGTAATGACTAGTCATGTCATTCCCAGTGACGTCACTGGCTGTCGTTGTTGTCGGTTTACCGCCTTTGACTTTGACGTGTGACCTAATTCCGGGCAAGTCCAGCTGCCACGGAATTTAATATCCGAAGATCGTCTTTCTCGTTTTTGTTTTAATTAGGTTTTGAGAGCACATTATTCCATCTCATGAAACCACATCATTAGGTCTCATGAAACCACATCATTCGGTCTCATGAAACCACATTATTTGACGTCATGAAACAAAATGATTTGATGTCATGAAACCACATCATTCGGTCTCATGAACTACATTATGTGATATCATAAAACCACATGATTTATGTCATGAAAACCACATCATTCGGTCTCATAAAACCACATTATGTGATGTCATAAAACCACATGATTTATGTCATGAAACCACACCATTCGGTCTCATGAAACCACACCATTCGGTCTCATGAAACCACACCATTCGGTCTCATGAAACTACATTATTTGATGTCATAAAACCACACTATTTGATATAATGAAACCACATCATTCGGTCTCATGAAACCACATTATGTGATGTCATAAAACCACATGATTTGATATCATGAACCACATCATTCGGTCTCATGAAACCACATTATTTGATATCATGAAACCACTTGACGTATGTCATGAAACCACATCATTCGGTCTCAGGAAACTACATTATTTGATGTCATCAAACCAAATGATTTGATGTAATCAAATCACACCATTCCGTCTCATGAAACCACATTATTTTTTGTCATGAAACCACACCATTCATTGTCAAAAACTACATGATTTGATATCAGTAAACATCAATAAATCAGGAGTCTTTTGAAGAATGTCTAAAGAAACTCTGAAGAATGTCTGAAGAAAGTCTGAAAAATGTCTTAAGAATGTCTGAAGAAACTACAAAGAAGCTCTAAATAAACTCTGGAGAAACTCTGAATAAAATCTAAAGAATGTCTTAAGAATGTCTGAAGAAACTAAAGAAAATGTAAATAAACTCTGAAGAAACTGAAGAAAATCTGAAGAATGTCGGAAGAATGTCTGAAAAAACTCTGAAGAATGTCTTAAGAATGTCTGAAGAAACTTTAAAGAAACTATTAATAAACTCTGAAGAAACTGAAGAAACTCTGAAGAACGTCTGATTTGTTTCACAAAACACGAAGCCGTGTTTGCTGTTTGACTAATTAAATGTTGTAGACCGTCATTCGAAACTCAATCAAGCGACATAAAAATATACAAGCCCTATTTTAAAAAGTTTTTATAATAAAAAAAAATTGATTAGAAGATATTTTTATCTAAAATAAAATTGGCTGAAAAAAATAAAAACATTGCCCTGTACTGATTTTTTTGTGTGAAAATAAAAGTTTAAACGAAACGCTAAAGAACTCACTCCTAAATTACAGAAGACGCCTCGCTATGATCTGTCAGCAGAGTTTGATAGGGCGCCTTGTTTTAAGCGGCTTGACAAACGTTTATACACCCAGATTAAAGTTTTTTCTTGATCCTACATTTCTAATAAGATGTGAGTTTGATGGCACAAAACATATCACATCACGTGCAGTGCCGGCTGGTGTTTACCTCCCTTGACCACCAGATTCGGGAGATTTGTAACAAATCCATGATTTTTGTAGTAGCGAGGGGGTGGTGGGGGACATATGTCCCCGGGCGCCGACCTTAGGGGGGTGCCAAAATGGGTAGGAAAAACAAATTGAAAGTTTGAGGGGTGGGGGGGGGGGGGAGTGTAAATCGAAAGTTTGAGGGGGGTGCATGCAAATCGAAAGTTTGAGGGGGGGGGGGCTGCAAATCGAAAGTTTGAGGGGGGGGGTTCAAATCGGAAGTTTGTCCCTGGGCGCCGGGAAGGGACGCTGCGCCTCTCAGTTCTATAAAAAAAATAATTTTTGAATTACTCTATAAATAAATGTTGCATGGATCCAATATAGATTTTAAAATAGAAAATAAAGCGTACTAGGCCTACAGTCATGCAATAGCTGCAATCTTATCGCATCTATTTTTATTTTGGATGTGCGCGTTTTAAAGGAGATAAAATTGGTTATCGTTTAGTCATATACGTTTGACGTCTGCGTTCACTTAGTTACGTAATTATAACACATGGAGAATCCAGTAACGTCATAATAATAGAGATATTTTATAGCATATAAGACAACCCAACCGTATGATGCAAGCTAATTTCAGAAATTACAATTCACATGGTAAGATCAATATTTTGAAAAAAATTATATATATATATATATATATATATATATATATATATATATATATATATATATATATATATATTTATATATATGTGTGTGTGTGTAAACATATATTAATATATTTATAAATAGATAAATAAATAAATAAATAAATAAATAAATAAATATATATATATATATATATATATTTAGAAGTAGATAAATAAATAAATAAATATATATATATGTATATATATATATATATATATATATATATATATATATATATATATATATATATATATATATATATATATATATATATATATATACATACTCTAAACATTATTATTGTGCCACTGTAGGTGACTATTGAGACGACAAAATCAACAATGAACACACTCTACATCATCTGCGTGTTAGCACTACGACTGCTGGCGTGTTCGTGTGACGTGACGTCACCACCTGCCAGACCGTCCAAAATGTTGGTAGCACTGCTCGGTTCCAGAAACGTCTCTCACTCTCTCGAACATTCCAACCTCTCGTCCAGCAACCGACGTTTACCTGCTAGGGTCAGTTCAGCGAACCATTCTTCCGATGAGTCAACGATTCTTTCAGCGAACCATTCTTCCGATGAGTCAACGATTCTTTCAGCGAACTATTCCGTCAATCTGCCTGTTTCAACGATTCTGTCAGCCAACTCAAGCTCTGAAATACAGGCCCGTGCCATTCGCATCAATACTTATCCCTACATACATACATTTTCTTACCGCAGCTGGGACCATTTCGATGGAAAGTTGCTTGGCATCATAATGGGCTCGTTGTTCGGTGCAGTTTTTTTCTTGATTATCCTTTTTTGTTGTATCCGCGCGTGTTTATTGAGAAAGCAGCGCCCTGTACGTGAGAACATCGTCGTCCTTTCTAATAGACAAACCGATTCCAGCATCAACCCCAGCAGCGACTCTATGCCGACCGGTTTCAGCAGCAACCCCAACAGCGAACCACCACCAGCTTACTCTCAAGTAGTCTTTAGCAAGACTGACAATAACATGCAGTGGCAAGCGAGATTTTAAGGTACGACAGGGTAGAGGGGGGGGGGGGTAATTTAAGGGCGACAACTTAGAGGGGGGGGGGGGGGGTAATTTAAGGGCGACAACTTAGAGGTGGGTAATTTAATGGCGACAACTTAGAGGTGGGGGGGGTAATTTAAGGGCGACAACTTAGGATTGACTACTCAAAGGGCAATAACTCAAAGGTTGATAACTTAAGGGTCGACAATTTAATTTGCGACAATATAATGAACGACAACATAGGGGCGACAACTTAAAGGACGACAGCCTAGGGGGTGTCAAAATAAGGAGCAAAAGCACGGAAATCAACACAATAAAGGGTACTCCATATTTTAAAGGACTATTCAAGAGACGACAACTCACCACTGAACATGTACTCCCACAACCCGCACAATCGGAGACAACTGTGTTACGTAATATACAAGTCAACTATTCATCTGTCTGCTAAGAATTGTCATATATAAATAAATATATATATATATATATATATATATATATATATATATATATGTATGAATATTTGTTTATGTATATATATATATATATATATATATATATATATATATATATATATATATATATATATATATATATATATATATATATATATATATATATTATCTAATATATAAAGCTGAGTTCTGTATGTAATGCATATGTTTGTCGTTGGTCTTGGATGAATTTAAGTGTTAGAAAATTATCGTGCGCATTTGTCTAAATTTATGAGCTAAAAAATTACTATTGAAAGTGTTGGGAAATAATTTTCATTTTTCAAATTATAGTAATAATTGTCGGCATGTTCATTAAACACAAGTTTTAAAAAAATATCATCTTTTACAAAAATTCTAATTATGTCTTTATTTAGTCCTATAGCACTTACTTCCCTTTGATAAATTAGGAAAACAAAATTACTTCCCTTTATAAAACCATTGCATTTTGTGGAAAATAATTTACTTTTTAATTACTTTGTTTTGGTGTTGGGAAAAAAAATAATTACATAATTAGCGGGGATTGATCAAGTGCAAATGTTGTAGGTATTTTACGGATAAGCTTGGAGTATTAAAATTGTTCATTAAATTGAAACAGGCGCGTTCGTTTAAGTGAGTGCAAAAGACTATGAATAAGTTGGGGTACTATAGTCGTTCATTAAGCTAAAACAGGTGATTCCGCCCCGGGCGTTTATGTTCGCGTTAGTGTTTTCTTTGTGTTTAGGTGGGTTTGCGTTAGTGGTTGCGTTTTGATTTGGTTCGTTTTTGTTCTTTCTTTTTTCGTTTTTGTTTGTGTTTTTTTGTTTGGGTTTGTATTTGTGTTTTTGGTTGGTTTTGCGTTTGGATTTGGTTTGTTTTCGTTTGCTTTTTCGTTTGTTTTTTTTTGTTGGTATTGGTGTTTGTGGTTGGGTTTGTTGTTAGGTTTTTGTTTTCGTTTGCTTTTTTGTTTGTTTTTTCTTTGTGTTTGTATTGGTGTTTGTGGTTGTGGTTGGGTTTGTTGTTAGGTTTTTGTTTTCGTTTGTATTTGTAATAGTGTTAGCGTTTTGTTTGCGTTTTGTTGTTTTGGTTGGTTGTGGTTTGGGTGGGCAATGCCGGGTTTATGATGATTACTAAACACACAGGTAATGGTCTTTAACAGAAAGGTTTTTCACAGAAGCCAGAGCAGGGCCTGGCCGGGACGGCTAGTATATATATATATATATATATTATATATATATATATATATATATATATATATATATATATATATATATATATATATATATATAAATATATATATAAATATAAATATATATATATATATATATATATATATATATATATATATATATATATATAAATATATATATAAATATAAATATAAATATATATATATATATATATATATATATATATATATATATATATATATATATATATACATATATATATAATTTGTTTGTAGGCCTTTAACGTGGTATTAATTAGTTAGCATAAGATGAATACTGTTCGACAAAATAACAAAAAACATACATTTAATGTGTCATTTATATGTTAGAGAAAGTAACATTTGATGTCTTAGTCAAGTGTTAAAGAATAATTAATTTGATGTGTTATTGATGTGTTAGTGAAAGACAAATCGCATGTGTAATTGATGGCTTGTTTACAGATAAATTCGATGTGTTATTGATGTGTTAGAGAAAGACAAATCGCATGTACAATTGATGTCTTGTATAGAGATAAATTTGATGTGTTATTGATGTGTTACAGACAGATAAACGAACACAATAGAGTTTTATCGTGTTATCGACACGACGCTTACATAAAAGTTTTTATTTCAAAACGTGATCCGATATCACCCGATATCTTCATTATCCAGATTAGAACTAATTTTAACACACCTACAGTTTTAACCGCGTAGTTTTAACAGAGGTTATCTCACCAAACGTAGAACAATGTAAACATGTTTCCAAAGTTGGCGTGTTCATGAAATTGGCAGAAGATCCTAGCAGCCACGTCTTTATATTATATTCTCTAAGTAAGTTGATATTTTATATTTTGCACTCAATGTTCCAGTAATATAATTGTCATTTAAATGTAGACATATTCAGTTGTGTGTCAGTGTTACGCTAGCCTTGTATGTCATAGACATGTTGTCTCTCCCTATTTTATTGATTCGTAATTAAATTAAAAACATTTTGCCAGCTTAAAAAATTAGGCGGAGATACATTTTGATGTAACGTTTGAAAACTTAGATTAACATCTAGATGCGCACGTTGATGGATGTTGCCACCCTTCATTACGGAAGAATAATTGATGACAGTGTATATGTGCTGGCTGTTTTGCATTTATTTGCAAGAAAAAATACGATTTTGTTTGAATGTATTATTATGTTACACATTAAATTTAATTTTCTCCAAAACTAAAGTGCCTAATCAAAGGCTTGTGTATTTTCTGGTTGATTATTCAATTGTCTTAAACAGTGAACTCAAAGTCGAACACATCAACAACAAACTACATAGGTAGTTAGTTAACATAACAATTTTGGAAATGTTGTCTTCATTTAGCAAAAAATGTGTACTGATACTTATAACATTCTGAGCATCATTTTTACAATTGATAGCCAGGGCACTGAGAGTTTTGTTGTTACAACGTGTCTACATTTTATTTATGTGTGTGTGTAGGGGGGGGGGGGGTAGTTCCCAATGCAATGGTAAAACAAGACTACAAGCTAAAAAAACAATTTAAAAAATACATGTGTGTATTTGTTGCTTAAGTCGAAACTTAGAGACTTAAGTGTTCTGTCGATCATTGGTGTTTTACTCATGGTTCAGTGATGGTCAACTAAATAGCCACTAATGGGACAATAAAAGTCAACTAAATAGCCGCTAATGGGACGATAAAAGTCAACTAAATAGCCACTAATGGGACAATAAAAGTCAACTAAATAGCCACTAATGGGACAATAAAAATCAACTAAATAGCCACTAATGGGACAATAAAAGTCAACTAAATAGCCACTAATAGACCAATGATAATATTACAATGTAATTGTGTATCTTTTAATTGACTCCTAAGCTACTGTTATAAAATATTATATTAGAACATTTGATTGCAGGTGAACATGTTCGCAAGTGTTTTCCTTTGTGCTGTGCTTGTCTTCCACACATCCGCCAATGTGGACGCTCTCGATAGACTAGGCAGCCATGACTCCACTTTCCTGCGAGCTCTGAATCCCGCTGGACAAGTCAAGAACAACACGGCCAGTCACGGGTTCACGGACATGGTACACAAACTTGGGCCTTCAATTATCAGCCATGACATTTTAGCACCTGATCAGGCTAATAAGATTAATGAGCCAGGTTATCGAAGGCGGGAATTCAGATTTGTCCACCACATAACTCGCCGCCATTTCCCCACCACTCGCCGCTCCACCCGTACCACTCGCCGCCCCACCCGTACCACTCGCCGCCCCACCCGTACGACTCGCCGCGCCACCCCCACCACTCGCCGCCCCACCCCTTCCACTCGCCGCCCCACCCCTTCCACTCGCCGCCCCACCCCCACCTCTCGCCGCCCCACCCCAACCACTCGCCGCCCCACCCCCACCACTCGCCGCCCCACCCAAAGGCTTCAAACATTGTCCACCAGCTACCACAAAAGACCGACTTGGCCCGAAACTACTCAGCAAGTGACATCGGGCCACAAAACTTCAAGGCCTGGCCAAGCCACAACAAAATCTTTCTACACGACCAAGACAACAGGACACATTGTAACATTCTCAACTACACAAACTGGCAACTTGATAAGTACATTGAGTAGAGCGACTACGAAATCTGGTCACCAAACTTCTAATATATATAGCGCACCAAACAGCTCTTCTAAAATAACAAGTAGCGCGCCCCACAGTTCTACTAAAATAACAAGTAGCGCATCAAACAGCTCTTCTAAAATAACAAGTAGCGCACCCCACAGTTCTTCTAAAATAACAAGTAGCGCACCCCACAGTTCTACTAAAATAACAAGTAGCGCACCCCACAGTTCTTCTAAAATAACAAGTAGCGCGCCCCACAGTTCTACTAAAATAACAAGTAGCGCACCCCACAGTTCTTCTAAAATAACAAGTAGCGCACCCCACAGTTCTTCTAAAATAACAAGTAGCGCGCCCCACAGTTCTACTAAAATAACAAGTAGCGCACCCCACAGCTCTTCTAAAATAACAAGTAGCGCATCAAACAGCTCTTCTAAAATAACAAGTAGCGCACCAAACAGCTCTTCTAAAATAACAAGTAGCGCACCAAACAGCTCTCCTAAAATAACAAGTAGCCCATCAAACAGCTCTCCTAAAATAGCAAGTAGCCCATCAAACAGCTCTCCTAAAATAACAAGTAGCGCACCGAACAGCTCTTCTAAAATAACAAGTAGCGCACCGAACAGCTCTTCTAAAATAACAAATAGCGCACCAAACAGCTCTTCTAAAATAACAAGTAGCGCACCAAACAGCTCTCCTAAAATAACAAGTAGTGCACCAAACAGCTCTCC